GTGACTCCATTTTCTCTTCTTTCTTAGCAAATCAATTATACTTTTCAAAAAACTTTTTTTTAGTAGTTGCCCTATATTTAGCAATATACATTTACCAAGTCCACTGTCAAATAACACGTTACCACTTCACAGGTAATGTAAGTAACCTATAATAAAATATTTTTATTTCTTCCCTCCCATTCCTTAAATCATTATTTTCACTAATTTCCCTTATATATAAGCATATATTTATATACAAGCATGTCATTGAATACATTGTTGCTATTATTATTCAGAACAAACTGTTACCTGTTAAATAAATTTTTTAAAAAATTAATTATACCTTCATTTATTCTTTTCCCAGTGCTTTCTTTCTTTATGGAAATATGAGTTTCTGACATATATCATTTTCTTTCTCTGTAAAAAAAAACAAAAACAAAAACTTCTTTTACCATCAAGGCAGGTCTACTGACAACAAATTCTCTCAACTTTGTGTGTGTGTGTGTGTGTCTAAGAAAGTCTTTACTTCTTTACTTTTTAAAATCTTTGATTTTAATTTAAAAATTAGCTTAATGACAAATATAATTTAATGTCTATATGTAATACCATGTGTGCATCTATATGTTTTACCTTGGTTTTGTATCAAAGTTTTTACTTTTTTCCCAAGAGAAGAATTACCATCTGTTAGTGACATATTGCAATTAGACTATGAAATGATTCTCAATTTTTTTTCTATTTTGAAGATACTTTTATTTTTAAGGAGGAATTACTTTCTCTTCAGATGTTCATTTTTGACTCTGAAAATTTAAATTTTTTTTTTTTTTTGGTCTAGACTGATTTGAAACAGTGACATTATTTTGTATACTAGGATGTTCTCTTCTTTAGACAGATTTATAGTACTAATTAGAAAGCTGCAAACACCCTTATATCAACTCAGAGATAGTTTAGATTCTTAAAACATAAGGAGAGATAACTTGTTGAAAACATTTTTATAACTTTAGTTAAAAACAGTATAAAAGACATAAAACACTTTTTTTTTTTTTTTTTTTGGAGACAGAGTTTCACTTTGTCACCCAGGCTGGAGTGCAGTGGCATGATCATAGCTCACTGCAGCCTTGAAGTCAGGCTCAACGGATTCGCCTGCCTTAGCCTCCTATGTAGCTGACACTGTAGGTGCATGCCACCATTCCTGGCTAATTTTTATAGCAAAGGCATCTTGCTTTGTTGCCCAGGCCAGTCTCAAATTCCTGGGCTCAAGCAGACCTCCCACCTTTGGCCTCCCAAAGTGCTGGAATTATGGGATTGAGCTGCTACTCCTGGCCATGAAACACACTAAAAAAAATTTAAGTCCACATGAAACAATTGTACTTCCTTCATAGTACAGGACCAACTTCCTCATCATTCTTACACAAAAATATTTCTCGATTCAATTTACCGATATTCAAGGATTTGACTCCTCATATAGTGTTTCTGCAAAAACGTATGTTTATTTATTTATTTATTTTGAGACATAGTCTTACTCCAGCCCAGGCTGGAGTGCAATGGGATGATCTTGGCTCACCACGACTTCCACCCCCCAGGTTCAAGTGATTCTCCTGCCTCAGCCTCCCAAGTAGCTGGGATTACAAGTGTCTGCACCCACACCTGGCTAATTTTGTATTTTTAGTAGAGATAGGGTTTCTCCATGTTGGTCAGGCTGGTCTTGAACTCCTGACCTCAGGTGATTCGCCCACCTCAGCCTCCCAACGTGCTGGGATTACAGGCATGAGTCCCTGCACTCAGCCGTGTGTTTTAAATTAAAGTATAAATCAGCAGTATTGTTTGAATAACCCCCAAATAATGTTTACATGAAATACTCTTTTTCAGGTCTTGATCTGATAACTGACCACTACATCCTTGTAGTATCAAAACGCTTAGAACAAAAGTAGCTTTACTGTTGAGTCAGAAGGAAAGTGTATGGCAAGAAGTAGTTCCAGTCTGAAAAAAGCAGGTCAAGATCCATTCACCAAAGTTAGCCACTTTGTGTTTAGCAACTAATCAATGAGGTGTGCACATCCACTTGGTGTCTGGCATCTAATCAGTGAGGAGTGGACTCCTTCACTTGTGAAGGATAGTTTTACAGGATACAGAATTCTAGGTTTCTGGGCTTAAAAAAAATTATCAACACTTTACTTTATTCTGCTCTCTTCTTCCTTTCATGGTTTCTGGGGAGAATTCAATGTAATTTGTAATTTTTTTTTTTTTTTTTTTGAGACAGAGTCTCACCCTGCTGCCCAGGCTGGAGTACAGTGGTGTGATCTTGGCTCACTGCAACCTCAGCCTCCCGGGTTCAAGCGATTCCCCTGTCTCGTAATTCTTATCTTAGCTCCTCTATACGTAATGTCCCCGCTCCCCTCAGCTTCTTTCATGATTTTTAAAAAATATTTTCTTTTCCAAAGTTTAAATATGATATGCCTAGGTGTGGTTTCTTGAGAATTTATCCTATTTGGAGTTGTCTGAGCTTCCAGGATGTGTGATTTGTTGTCAGACGTGAACTTGGAGGAAATTAATCATAAGCATTCTTCATTTCTGTTAGTGTTTTTTATCTCTAGCATTTCTTTTTGAGTCTTTCTTAGAATTTCTATCTCTGCTTATATTTTCCATCTGCTCCTGCATATTGTCTACTTTTTCCATTACCTTCAAAAGCACATTCAACTTAGTTTTTTTTTTTTAAAGTCCTTGTCTGATAATTCCAACATTCCTGCTATATATGGCTCTAGTTCTCCTGCTTGTTCAGTCTCTTCCATTTTCTGCCTTTTAGTAAGCCTTATAACTTTTTGTTGAAATCTGGATGCTATGGTTTGAATGTCCCCTCCAAAGCTCATGTTGAAACTTAATCACCAATGTGGCAATACTGAAAGGTGGGGCTTTTAAGAGGCAAATGGATCCTGCGTGCCCGGTTTCATGAATGGATTAATTCATTCATGGATTCACGGGTCAATGAGTTAATGAATTATTTAGGGGTTATTCAAACAATACTGCTAATTTATGCTTTAATTTAAAACACACAGCTGGGCATGGTGGCTCACGCCTGTAATCCCAGAACTTTCAGAGACCAAGGCAGGTGAATCACCTGAGGTCAGGAGTTCAAGACCAGCCTGACCAACATGGAGAAACCTCATCTCTACTAAAAATACAAAATATCATGGGACTGAAATTGGTGGCTTTATAAGGAGACCTTAGCTAGAACATTAGCACACTCAGCCTCCTTAACGTGATATCCTGTGCTGCCTCAGGACTCTTCAGAGTCCCCATCAGCAAGAAGGATCTCACTAGATGCACTCCCTTGACTTTGGACTTCTCAGCCTCCATAACTGTAAGAAATGAGTTCCTTTTCTTGATAAATTACCCAGTTTTATGTATTCTGTCATAAGCAATAGAGAACAACTAAGACACCAGACAGGATGTACTGGATAAAAGGAATACTGGTAAGTAGGCTTTTAGCAGTGTGTGGTAAAGCTGAAGGACAGGGCAAGTGTTCTATAGTCCTATGATTAGGCCTTAGCCTTTAGTAAGCCTGTGTTCTTGGATGGTGAACATCACCAGTACTTCCTTTTTATTTCTTTGAGATGGAGTCTAGCTGTCACCCAGACTGAAGTGCAGTGGCACAATCCTGGCTCACTGCAACCTCTGCCCTCCAGGTTCAAGAGAATCTATGCCTCAGCCACCAGAGTAGCTGGGATTACAGGCATGTGCCACCACACCAGGCTAATTTTTGTGTTTTTAGTAGAGATGGGGGTTTCACCATGTTGGCCAGGCTGGTCTCGAACTCCTGACTTCAAGTGATCCGTTCACCTTGACTTCCCAAAGTGCTGGGATTACAGGTGTGAGCCATTGAGCCTGGCCACTGTTTCTTAATCTTCCACACTTAAGTGGAACAGTATAGTTTATAGAGGCTGGAGTTGGGTATTTCCCTTTTCCCAGGTAGTTTAGGCTCTGATAAAACCCCAGCAGACTAGGCTTTGGTAAAATACTTTCTCCTGAGGGCAGTTCTTGTTAAGAACTGATTGCTCTGGCATATTTTTAAATGGTTACCTTCTCAGCAGAGGAATCTTTCAGTAAACATTTAAGGAATTAACCTAACTGTCACAGGCATTCGAACCAGAGCAACTCCATTCTGAGTGAGGGCTAGGAAAATGAGGCTGAGACTTGCTGGGCTGCATTCTCAGAAAGGTAGGCATTCCTAGCCTCTAGATGTTTATGGTTAAGGGAACAAATTAATAATGTTTACTAAAATAGACCCAGACCTGGGGATGCCCAGATATCCCCATATCTGGAGAACAAAGGCATTCATAACTTTGCTTTAAAGATAATATTGATTCTTGCAAAATAATTAAGAAAATTAATCCTTTACCACAAACCCTGGTAGCAGAGCACACCTCCCCATATATACAACCACCGTACCTAGGGCGGATGCATTCCTCCTTTACTTTCAGTAATGTCCTATTCTGTCTATGGAGTAGCTTTCCATTCACCACCACTTCACTTTCTTAATAAACTTGGTTTTACTCTGCACTGAAAACTTGCCCTGAATTCTTTCTTGTGCGCGATCCACGAACCCTCTCTTGGGGTCTGAATCCGGACCCCTGTCCTGTAACGTAACGGAAAACCCCAGTGCAAACGCACAGCACCCTACTTAAGATTGCAAACATCCATCATTAGTTATTTCAAATCATTAACTTTCTCTAAGCCGATCGGATTCCTACCTGATGTCGAAAAGAAAGGCAAAAGATAGACTGTTTCAACACTTTCAGACGCTTGGGCAAAAGAAAGCACTTTCATGCTATAAATAAAGCAGCACAAATACCATACGACAGGGCATTCATTATACTTGCGGAGAAGCTGCCAGGTCCAAACTCTAAAGGAAAAAACTATTGGAGCTCATTTTTCCTGCCCACGTTAGCTAGCACATTTTGTTGAAATTGAAGGGGAAAAAAAGACTTTGGTGAAACTGAACTCTACCTTGAAATAAACTACTGTACCTCTTATACCTCATTCCTTCTATCCCAGAAACCCGGTAGAAAAAAAGATACACCTGAGATCGTCAAATCCCTCTTCGCGTAGACTCTGTAGGAGTATTTCGCCCATAAGTCAATTTCAGCCCGCCTCCTTTAAGCCAACATTCTGCGTCTTTTCTCCCCTCAGCTTCTCCGCGCACCCTTTTGCCACCACTGACTTGTTAGTTATCGCGGTCCAAAACACGCACGCGCCTTTGAGGGCTCACAAGCCCGCCTCCCCCGGAAGAATCTCAGGGTCTCATCCAATCAGAGCCAGTCAGGAAGCCGAGGCTCAGCCAGGCCTCGCGACGCCCAACTTCCCGGGGCTTACCGTCTCTGGTGTCACGTGATTCCACTTTCCGCCTCGCGGCCACCTCTCAGAGGGCGGCGCTCTTGGCCCGGCCCCGCGAGGCACTGCCTTTCAGTTGGCGCTCGCTGATTGGTCGCTGCTCGCGCGGTCTCCTGGGTGACGGGAACGCGGTAGCCTGCTCGATGAAGACCCGGTGCGCCTGCGTACTTCATAGTTCGCGTAGCTGCTCGAGCCTGGAGATGAAGGTAAATAACTTACAAATCCCTGGGGGACGGGGGGCGGGAAAACACGACCACTGTCCCTTGGTCGCTTTTAAAAGAGGATCTCTGTCCTTCTACCTCCTCCCGAATTTGTTGGAAACGGGGAAGAGAGCGAAGCGACCAGAGAGGGCGGGGGTGAAGTTGAAGGGACGAGGGAAAGGGAAGAAAATAGGAGGAAAGGAAAGGGCGGAGAGAGAGGCCTCTCATTTTGGGGACTGCAGACGCCGTAGAAGCGGTGCAGAAAGTGGAAACCCCTCCCTAGCCGAAATGAGCGGACTGTATCTAAAGATACGCGGAAAGAACGGGTCGACTGAACGCGTTTGCAGGGTCGTGGCGAAGTTGGCTGGATCCGGTGTCACGAGCTACCTCATTTCTTGGGGCTAAACCCCTGGCAAACCGCGCAGCTGCCCAGCGCCCTATAAAGAATGAAAACCCTTCCAAAGTCGAATCTCAAATTGCATTGCCTGTGACCAGTCCAATCACCTGCTAGCGAGTATACATTATTGACGGGAAATCTGCACCGGCACACGGAGGTCTCACTCTCATGTGCCTCATCCTCTGCACGCACGTTTTCTAGGCTTGGGCTTCTTGTCCACCCCACTTTGTGACTTATCACAGCAGTCCTCCCATGCTCTGCTCTGGCAAAGAAATGGAAGTCTCAATTTTAAAATTATTTTGGACGTCCTCAGGCCGGGCGCGGTGGCTCACGCCTGTAATCCCAGCGCTTTGGGAGGCTGAGGTGAGCGGATCACGAGGATCACAAGATCGAGACCATCCTGACCAACATGGTGAAACCCCGTCTCTGTTAAAAATACAAAAATTAGCTGGGCGTGGTGGTGCGTGTCTGTAGTCCCAGCTACTCGGGAGGCTGAGGCAGGAGAATCACTTGAACCTGGAAGCCAGAGGTTGCAGTGAGCTGAGATCGCCCCACTGCACTCCAGCTTGGGCGACAGAGCGATACTCCATCTTAAAAATAAAAATAAAAAAATAAAATTATTTTAGACGTCCTCATGCTTCTTCGTGACTATTAGTGTGGAAATTGGAATTGATGGACCAGTAATCATAACTCCCATTTCTATTTCTAAAGCTCTTTACAATTTATGATACTAGAAGTGAAGAGATATTATTTGTGATTTACAGTTGAAAATTTTTTGCTGGAGGCAATTTAAGCAACTGACTTAAAGCCCTGCAGCTAATAAGCAACAAACAAAATTTAAATCTTGGTTTTTTGGTTATGAAACTAGCACTATTTTCTCTGCACATTATGTGGAGCATTTGTAGAAATCCACTGAAGAAAAATAATATGAGATCACAGCTAGAGGCAAGTCTGCCATTGAAGGTAATGAAATCCAAGTTTAAGGACTTCTCACTTGTATGAAGAAGGGGTTCCAGGGGGAAGTGGTCACAAAACTGTAAAAGTAAGATGCTTTTTTTGTAGAGACCAACTTTTACCATGTTGATTGGGCTGGTCTCGAACTCCTGACGTCATGATCCACCCGCCTCAGCCTCCCAAAGTGCTGGTACAGGCATGAGCCACCGTACCCAGCCAAGTATTCTTTCTTCATGAGTTTCTTTATGCTCTACAAAACTTGAATACCCCGTGATCACAGTCCACCTCTACTTTCAATAGAGGTGAATTTCTTCTTTACCGTGTAAAATGCTCATTGGGAGAGGGCTCAGTGGCTCACGCCTGTAATACCAGCACTTTGGGATGCCAAGGCAGGTAGATCACTTGAGGTCAGGAGTTCAAGACCAACCTGAGCAACATGGTGAAAACCCTTCTCTACTAAAAATATTTAAAATTTGGCTGGGCGTGGTGGCACATGTCTGTAACCCCAGCTACTCAGAGGCTGAGGAAGGAGACTCGCTTAAACCGGGGAGGTAGAGGTTGCAGTGAGCCAAGATCGTGCCACTGCACTCCAGAGCCTGGGCAATAGAACAAAACTGTGTCAAAAAACAAAACAAACAAAAAAAACCCACAAAACACTGATTTGTATTTGTTTTAAGACGGAGTCTCACATTCATTCATTCATTCATTCATTTATTTATTTATTTAGAGATGGAGTCTCGCTGTGTCGCCCAGGCTGGAGTGCAGTGGCTCGGCTCATTGCAAACTCCGCCTCCTGGGTTCAAGGAATGCTTATGCCTCAGCCTCCCGAGTAGCTGGTATTACAGGCACGCCCCACCATGCCCAGCCAATTTTTTTGCATTTTTGGTCGAGACGAGGTTTTGCCATGTTGGCCAGGCTGTGTTTAATTTTGAGCATTAGAAGAGTTTTGTGTTGCCGCACAGACTAAGTCTCATGTAATAGTATCTAAACTTATATGCCTAGATATGCGCATTGTTGCTTAATCTATAATTTAATCTGATACCAAAATCTAAATTTTTTCACCCAAACTCATATTCCTAAATGTTCTAGATCAACACTATGTACTATAAATGTAGTGAGCCAATGTAATTTCGTATTTTTAGTGGCCATTAAAATTTTTTAAAGAAAACAGGTAAAATTCATTTTAATAATATTTTATCTTACCCAGTGTATCAAAAATGTTATTTCAACATGTAATCAATATAAAAATTATCAATGAGATAGTTTACATTCTCTTTTCGGTCTTGAAATCTGATACATGTTTTTGATTTATAGCATAGCTAAGTTTGAATTACTTGTGAGTAAAGTTTGGATTACTTGTATTTGTAGCCTCCGTATTGGAGATCACGTTTCTAGATTGTTTCGATGAACAGAAAGAGTTTGATATGGTAACACTGTTCCCCCAGTAGCCAGGTTAAACACTTAATGATGATGTAAATATAACTAATGAAACTAATAGAAGAAAATAGTGTTGAAACGAGTAAGATATTTTGTATTTTTATCATGTTTAAGACAGGAATTTTTGTCTGGTTTAATCACCAGGAATCCATGCCACAGATAATTAACTAAATTCAGGCTTCAATTATTTTAATCTTTAACGTCTACAAAACACTAAAATTACACATTTTTACAAAATTAACATTCAGAAACATTAAAAACCCAAAAAATTTTACAATAGAGGCTCTCCTATATCTTGAGGTCTATAATTTACCTAGTGGTTGTGTATGTTTGGCTGCTTGGTTGGTTGATTTTGTTTTGTTTGTTTCATTGTTAACTTCTGATTAAGCTCTAACATAATCCTCACCATCCTGAATCCTATTGTTTTTATGATCATGTTTTGATATCTTTTCTGATCAACACTTGATTGTGTGTTTTGAAAATACTAAAAATTGTGTTTATTTTTCAGCGTGTTTTCTCACTGCTGGAAAAGACTTGGCTTGGTGCACCAATACAGTTTGCCTGGCAAAAAACATCAGGAAACTACCTTGCAGTAACAGGGTAAGAAACCAATGAATGTTTTAAACAATGGTTGTATGACCATGTAACAACACCATCTACTCAGTAAAAGTTACTTTTTTTTTTTTTAAGACGGAAGCTTTGTTGCCCAATCTCAGTTTACTGCAACCTCCACCTCCCAGATTCAAGTGAACCTGGCCTCAGTAAAAGTTTTTGTGTAACAGTTGTGTGGTAGGAAAAGGAATATATTCATCTCCATTAACATCAAAGTTCATAGAACCTTTTCTCTGGTAGTAACTTTTTAGATACAAATTATGAAACTATCAGGAGAAAACACTGAAATCACTTGGATGGCACCTTTATATCCAGAGATAAATGAAAGAAACATTTAGACTCACTCCTGTAATTCCAGCACTTTGGGAGGCCAAGGCAGGCGGATCAATTAAGGCCAGGAGTTTGAGACCAGCCTGGCCAACATGGTGAAACCCTATCTCTACAAAGATACAAAAATTAGCCAGGTGTGGTAGCAGGTGCCTGTGATCCCAGCTACTTGGGAGGCTGTTGCAGGATAATTGCTTGAACCTGGGAGGCAGAAGTTGATGTGAGCTAAGATGGCACCACTGCAGCCTGGGTGACAGAGGGAGACTCCATTCCCCAAAATAAAAAAATTTTAAAACATATCTTTATGTTCCAATTGCTTTCAGAGCTGATCATATTGTGAAAATCTTTGATCGCCATGGACAAAAAAGAAGTGAAATTAATTTACCTGGGTAAGTACAGAAGTAGATTAAAAAACCTGTCAAGCTTTGTTGCCTAAAAGATTAAAAAAATACTGCCTTAAAATTATAATCAAATAGAATCTTTTGCTTTTTCCATTTGCAAAGGGATTTTTTAGCCGTAAGTAGTTCTGAAATATATAGAGATATAGTTTATTAATTAAAGTTTCTATCTATAAACACCCATTTATTTATTCTATAAATAGTCACAGGGAAGCCTTAAGGCAAGATTTTAAGTCAGACCACGTGAAAGCATTGAATCCACATGAAGGAATTCTTTTAAATTATAAACAAATCTTAGTGTATGTATGCACAGTGTATGTATCTTAGTGTATGTATCTATATCTACTTTAGTTTTTCATCTCTAATAAATTGTTGGAAAACCCTTACTTTTTGTGTAACTTTGTAAAGGGTAAAGATTTTATCCTTTTTCAGGAAATCATTCTAGATTATACTAAGCAGAATTGAAGCATTTTTAATGATTCAGTGTAGTAAGTACCTATTTTAGTTATTCTACTGATAGTCTCAGTGGTTATTAAGATGGATAGAGTTCCTCACCTAAACTGATTTATGCTGCTG